TGTACAAAAAATTACCTGCAATTAAATCTGAGCCAGACTTGGCCTACAAGCCATAAAATCAGCTTAATTTCATGTTACATCATTACATTTTGATTCCCATGCTGCTTTTAAAATACATGCAACGTTTAAAAGCTGCTTTTATTTCTACCATTATTTTTAATAGATCCAGAAGGTTAACACTGTGTTGGTAAAAAGAGAATCGCATTTCCCATATTCTGAAGTGTCCTGGATTCAGTCTCGGAAGTTTTACTGGATCCATAAGCAGAACAATAAACTCTGTTTTCCTGGGTATTTCTGAGATATTTGCCTAGAAATTCTCACTTGCTTAGATAGAAACCTGTGTAGAACAAAGTTATCGGGCCTCACAATGTTGTTAGACAAAACTTTTGGTTTCTTGTTTTCATAAAACCTCCCCTCTTAGCACTGTGCTTTAATTAGTATTTTAACTTTTTAATAATTTTGAATCTATCCATTTTCTTTTATTTTTTCCACTGTGTTGGATAAGCAAGCTTGAAAAAGTAAATGTTAGAGAAACAAAACACGAAAAGGCGAGTAAAGACAATATTACATTTACTTCTATATTTTTTAATGTTAAATTGGATTAGCAATATTTGCCAAAATAAAGCCAAGTTTGCCATACAGTTTGGAAAAATATCCAGAAATCTCAGGGAAAAAACCCAAACCAAACAAAAAACCCCAACCTTAACAGTATTGACTGTTGGCCATAGTAATAAACTTGAGGTTTTTTACATTTTCATAGTGTAATGTGTTACCAGCTCTGTCTGTGCCTTGCTGTTGCTCATTACATACAGCTATGCACGCCTGTTGAATCCATTCAGAAGAGTTTTTACCCTATGTAGGGATGCTGTCCTCATCAATAATCTTTATATATTTTGTTCAAATTACAGAAAATCATAAATCTTTTGATAAAGGGAACCAAAGACGTTTTTATTCATACATTGGCATGAATCCTGGAAGCATGTTAACACGTGTTCTTCATCCCTCCGTTGCTGTGCTTTGGTGCCAAGTTCTTTATAGTTACCACATCAGATCTTCCGAAATACTTTGCTGAATCAGTCTTTCCTTTTTTTTTTTTGTATTTTTTTCCACTCTTTTTTTTTCTGTGTCTAACTAAAGAGGCTTGATTCATTTCAGGTACTTTTTATTTTGTTTTTTTTTCACCCCTGTGACCACATTTCTAGGGAAATGGGTAAGACTTTCAGATACACCACATGCATTTCTAGCCATCTTTTAATCAGAAAATGGTAGCAAACTTACATCTACGTTGCTTTGAGCTGGGTTAGGCTGAGGAAGTTTTGAGAATACCACTCGGTGCCTATCTCAAAATGTGTTTTAAAAACGTCTAACGAGTCAATCGAGAATGAAATTTGCAAGTCAAAAACTGCATGATCCTGGCAAGTGTGGTTTAATTGTTAGATTTGCAGTTGCCAAGTAGAAAATTGTATCCTTCCTTAGGTTAAATAAAATTGTTTGCAACACAAGCAGCAACAAATTAGTTGCACTTCATTTTACTACAGCCTGTACTATGGATTATTTGCCAGATTGAACTTTTTGCATGTGTTTTGACTAAAAATAACCAATTCTGAAGTATTTAGTCACAGCTTAGAGACTTTTTGTCTGGTCCCCATGGAAGGAACATGTACTTAGCTCTTTAAAAGTCATTTGATGCAAACAAAGTAAGCTTAGACTTTCTGACAAAGCATTTTTTGTAACATTTATCACTGTGAAAACGTTAAACTTTTTTTTTCTAACCCAACTTTGGTATACATATGAATGCACTTATTGCAAATCTGAACATACTGTATAAAAATAGCTTCAGTATGCCAACAAAGTCACATGTAAAACTTGTAGAAGGAAATACAGCAAATCCTCTTGTGTGTATACAGAGTAATTTAGGTAGGTCTATACTTTTTTTAGTATGTCCTAAAATTTCCTGTCTGAACATCCGTCCTGTTACATATGTTTAATATGCCTTTATCTGTACTCCACAGTGCTTTACACCTTTCTAGAATGTAATACCTTTGGTTATTTTTTTTCCCCATTGGCATCTTTCTCTCTATCTGAACATGCCTGTGGATTGGCTTAATGGTACCATTCTTCCTGGGTTTACAACGCTGCTATTTTCAAACTAAGAATCTCAAATACTTTATGCTAAGATGCTAACTTTAAATGCTACCAGTGTGAAAAATGTTATCTTCCATCTTCTGAAAGGAAGAGGAAGGAATAGTATTGCTATTGTATATTCTTATCTAAAGGAGATGAGAAAGAGAACTGCTTTGGAGAAGATGTATTTTAAAAGTTTCAGGAACTGGTTAATGATAGTGGTACAATTTCTAAATAAACTGCCTTCAGAATAAAAAACTACAGTTCATGACGTGACATTTTTGAAGGTGCTAACACGGTAAATCACGCTCTCTCTCAAAACTTCTTGTTCTGTGCATTAAAGAGAGTCTTCATCATGTTTTACATATATTGGCAACAAAAGGTCCTTTGGTAGAGGTTTAGATGTTACAGTTCAGTTTTGGGAATTCTTAGGTGTCCCCCTTTAGGAATAACATAGTTAATTGATGTGCTGGCTTTGGCTGGGGTAAAGTTAATTTTCTTCACAGTAGCTACTATGGGGCTGTGTTTTAGATATGTGCTGAAAATAATGTTGATAATACAGAGGTGTTTTCATTATTGCTGAGCAGTGCTTACACAGTCAAGGCTTCTTCTGCTTCTGCCCTGGTTTTGTTTGATTTTAAAATACCTGCTTATGTTGTGGTTGCTGTTCTGATGAACTTGCCTTTCAGTATGTAACATCAATTGCAGTACAATAATTGGCTGCCCATCACTGGAACTGATGTATACAAATGGAATAGTATCATTAGAACCTTTAATGTTTTTGTTATAAAATTGTAGAGGTGTTCTTGTAGGTAAGTGGTACCCACATCATATATAAAATACGTGCTATGGTTAACCATACACCGTGTTTTAAGATAGACCTCTGTTCCTTCAAATATGCAAGAAAATGTTAGTTTTAGTTCATTTTATTTGTGTTGATTATCTTAAGAAATATAGTGTCCTAAATAAGATTTATTTTTCCCCTCTAATAGCTTTAATAACAAAAATAGAGGTGCTTCTGCATTTTCAAGAAAGCAAAGCTTCCTGAAAGCCTTTGTGTACGATCAAGGGATTGAAGGGTCAAATTTAGACGTTTGAGAATAATGAAATTTTATCTTTTTTTTTTTTTTTTTTTTCTGATCACACACTGCTCACCCTCCCCACACACCCCTGCATCAAAATTCCTCCTTTGAAGGAGGCTGGAGACTATCAAAGGCCATCCTGTTTCAGAACAGCCACCCTCTCTCACTGCTTACAATAGGACTGAGGTCGCAGGGCTGCCTTACTACAGGTAGTTTCTGTCTGTGTTTACTTGTTCTTAATTTGCATCTATGTATCATGGGCAAGTAGGGATGGCGTTGTAGAGGAAACCAGTTGGTGATGACATTTCTATGTGCACCTTATATGCAGTTTGGGGTGGTATTTTAGACCGAGTATCACCCAGTGGATTGAATTCCAGGTATCTCCTGAAACGCATTAGTTACACTCATGGAGTGCATCTTTTAGTTTTGTTCCATCTTAAATGAATCCAGTTGAGGGACTCAGGTTTCTCTGCCATGCAAACCAAAGCAAGGTAAGTGGGGAGAATTGGGAGACTGGTTTCAAAACTGTGTTTGTGTTTCGAACTAAAAATATATCATAACATAGTTTCTTCAAAGCACTGAGCATCACTGTTTTCAAGGGTAGCGTAGCGTCGCTTCATTCTACTAAGAACCAGCAGGAAGCAATAAGAGACTTTTTGGAAGCCTTAATTTTATTTTTAAGCAACAGGAACTGATGCTATTTGATAGAGTGGATTTTCCATACGATAACAGATTAAAAATTTGAAAGGAAAATAATATTTTTAAAAATGTTTTATATAGACTGTATGCATATGTACAGGAATACAAGCTTAAAAAAAACCCAAACCAAACAAACACCAAAACAAATCAAAAAAACAACCCACTGATCTGTGCCAGTTGTACTGAGCAGAGAAGAAGAGGGAACGAAGGCTGTGTAAGAGAGGGGAAGTAGAAGAAAGGAGTATCTACGCTCCATTCACTGTTGGTATTTCCAGAGTGGTGTAGTGTAGTCAGACTATGCTGGTAAATTTCTCCCTTCTGAAAAGAAATTATAATAAAATCACAAATTAATGCTGATACTATGCATTTCCACATCCTTTAGTAACACCAGGTGGAAACAAGAATTGGGGCTTTTGGCATTTTAGGACAGAAAAAAAATAGCATCTTCAACAAAGTAAACAAAACTCCTCTCCATTTTCGTGGTGTTTTGAGCAAAAGCATCACAATGCTTCTGTGTGATGGTTAATGCATGCAGTTGCTACAAGATATTCTGAAATTGTGTGGTTTGAGAGTGTATTTTTATAGATGAAGACAACTGGTGGGGGAGTGTTCTAGCACTCGATTTGGAGGTCATCCAAATTCCCCATGACTCTCGTTCTACCCTTTAATTATTGGTAGCTCCTTTTTTGGAGAGATCAGTGTAAAAACTTGACCTTACAGAGCAAAACTATTTTGTCCTTAAATGATACTTGCTTTTCAAAGTACTAAATGGAATTAACACTCGTACTACATGATAGCTGATTGAGATTGTTCTCTCCGTGTTTGCTTTGTTTTTTTTCCTTGAGCATTAATGTCTTGTTGAAGAAGATACAGGAAGTCTGTGTCAAAATAATGGTTAAAATTCTGCCATGTCTGGCTCTAAGCCCTGTCCTCCTCTAGGTTCTGCTGCTATGAAGCGTGTTTGTATTTTTTCATGTCTAACAAGAAAAATAACACTTTATTTTTAATTTTGAAAATGTTTAAAAGTGTCACTTTGATGTAATGTATTGCCACCTATTAAAATGTTCTGCGTTTTAACTAGACGCTTTATTCCAGCAATCCATCAAAAACTGGAAGCGGATGGAACGGAAAAAGTAGAAGGATCCATGACGCAAAAACTGGAGAATGTACTGAACAGTAAGTTTTATCCTTCCAGCAGCAACTATTTATGGACTTTGGACTTTCTTAACAAGCTTTCGTATATTCCTAGGAATATGGTGGAAAGTAGAAGACAGTACAGTCTCTCTTGCCTTTTCTTGTGCGATGATAGTGATTTTGGGGGATGATAGTACACCTTTTGAAGTAAGTAGCAGCTTTTGCCGTGACTTTCAGCAGTGTTTGTGATAACAAAGAGAATAAATATCAAAATAAAGATGTTCTAAAGCAGTTACTTTCAATGAATTTTGGTGGCGTCTCAACTTTGAGTGGACAATGAAAACAGAGGAGCTATGTGGGTAGACAGAAGTGTAGGAAGATGAGCGAAGCTAAATACCAGGATTGTAAGAAGTTTGAGCAAAAGAGGAAAAAAACACAAATACAAGCTGTTTGCAATAAGTTTATTAATGGAATCTTTTCCACTTAATGTGCTGGCATTTAGACTACTTGGAGTTAGCTTTCTTTTCAGACACTTTGAAAAGGTGTCAGTACTTTCTTTTCTGTTTCTCTCTATGAGCTGTAAGGTTGCATTGAGAGATGGCTTGAATTTGCTGCAGTTCGGTATGTGTTTCATCAGATCAAAAAAAGTTCCTTTTTTTTTTTTTTTTCAATTCTGGGACTTCTGCCAAGATAATTTGACTTTGTTTCATTGTGATTTTTTTCACAGAGGAAGGGATGTTTCCTTTAGTGCTGTGTCAATAAGCAGGAA